CTTTGGCCTTTGCCACTAGGTAGGCTAAACGGTGTTTTGAGTTGATGGGATGAACTTGGCGGTGAAGGAGCCTGGTGGCGATACGGCGGGGTTTGTGGTCACGGTGGAAGCTGCGGTGGTTAAGGGTGGTGTGGGGGAAGGCAGAAGCAGTGGAGAGAAATAGAAGACACAGTCTCACAATCACAAGTAACGCAGAGGAAGCCATTGCTAGCCACCGATAAAAGGGATAATGAGAGTCCAGAATTATAAGGTCATTATGCGTGTTGTGATTGTATTGTTTCTTTGGTTCCGTCGTGCATTGATCCATTATTAAAAAATTATTGAAAAAATGATTAAAAAAAATCCTTCTCAAATATACAAATGACAATAAAATTTTACAAAATGTAATAATTTTTTTTTTAGTCCCTTGAACCTTTTTGGTGACATTAATGTTTTTTTATGAAATAACTATAATGATTTTAGTTGAAAATATTGGCAACTACTTTGATTTATGTAATAGTTACGTTTTTTTGGTAATAATTAAATTGAAATTGCAAATAACAATTAACAAGTGCCACTGTGTGAATTTTTTAATCATTGAAATCCAAATATTGTAAATATCATTGATTATTTTGGTTTAAATAATGACTTTTTTTTCTACAATAACTAAAGTGGAATAAGTAGTTAAAACTTACTTTATGCAAATTTTTTAACAATTAAACTCTATGTACTATAAATATTAATGACTACTTTAGTTTAAGTAGAGATTTTTTTCTTAGGAAGTAAGTAACTAAAATGGGATAGAAAATGACAAGTTTTGCTTTGCAAAATTTTTAATCATTGATTCATTTTTTTAATTTTAAATTAAGGCCAATATATCTATTTTACAAAAGACATTAAGTTCAGAAAGTTCGCAAAGAATTTGAGAAGAATTATCACATTTTTTAGGACTTCATTGTCATTTATATATTTTAGGTCATTTTTTTCGTCATTTCTCAAATTTGTTTTAGACACCTAAATATACGAAAAAGCTCATGTGTTTGAATTAATAAGGGTTGAGATTTGAATTTGAACAAATTCATTGAACATACATAAAAGTGTATAATTTATTTAACTTCTTTGTAATTTTAAAATTTCTCAATACTCTAGTGTATGTTTAGAATGTTAACTACTTTAATCTTATACTCTCTCTATCTCAAATTATGAAACACTTTTAGATAAAATTTTACATACTAATAAAACTTATCAAATACACTTTATAACATTACCTTTTTAAGATAAAAATATAAACTTTTAAAAATACTCTTCATTTAATATTCAATTGATAAAAGAATATTGAAAAGAGACAATACATGGGAAAGGTAATTTTGAAAAAGTATTATTAATGAAACCTTATTCTTATCAAAAAGTCTTATAATTTAAAATGCAGAGAGTATTTTTTTTTGAAAACAATTTTACTACTGGTCATTTGTTATTGTTTTCTCTTCTATCATCCATTATTTTCATTCATTATTGAGTTAATAATAAATATAATTTCATCACTTTCAATCTTCTACTTTTGCTTCAAATCACAGCTTAATTCTTTTCTTCATTTAAAATTTTTTACACTGTATTCAAATAAAAAATTTTATATACATGAAATTTTAATATGATATTTTAAATATAAGATTTTAAATTTAAAATTCAAATTTAAAAAAGAATTGTGATATATGATTTTTTTTTTACGATGAGTCTATCTTTTGTTAATGTACGTATCTCAAAAAATATTAGTTCCCTCTCCAAAATGTTACTCCCCCAAAAAAATTATCGTGATTTATATTTCTAAATAAAATGTATAGAGTATTTGTATATATAGATATATTAAATTAAAGTTTGGCAAGTCCGAATTGTGAAAGTCAATGCTACATGGCACCAATCTTGAGAATTGGCCAGAAAAGAAATTAAAGAACATTTAAGGAAGGAAATCCGGTCATAAAAAGGAATGAGCTTGCGTGACATTAAACCTTTCAACATTATTAGGAGGCCAAAAAAACGTTATTAGGAAATCCGCTAATAATACTCAAATTCTCAGGAAAGGTATAATATTTTAAAAGCGTCCTAAAAGTCATATTGACAGTGACGAAAACAGAAAACAAAGAGAGCTATGACTTCCATTAACTTTTTTTTTTGGTAAGATATAGGAGTTATATATTTGTGGACCTCCAAATATATTTGATATAATATGAATTATAATATTATGAGCTTGATGCATTTAATGATCTTAATTTTTATAACTTGATTGTTATGGGTAAATTATGTCAAAGGTTTGTAGAGGTTAGAAAATTTAATTTTTATTCTTTGATTGACTAATTATTGAGACTTGCACTAACTCTTCTAGTATTAATTACAACCCTTGAACGAAATTTTTTTGGTATAAAAATTATTAAAATTAAGTTTAGCAACAAGATGAGAGATAAATGTTTCACTAATTTAATAATAATTTTTATTAAGAAGGAGATTGTTGAAAGAGGATTTTCATATCATTAATCGACAGCAAAAATTTTAAAAATGAAAAAAAAAGTTTATTTTGATTACATATATTTGTAAAATTAATTGTGAATATGTTAAAATATTTGTGCTCTATTTTTTTTGGTATATATCTATATATAACTTTTCTTCAATTATTGTATATGCTTAATAATTTGGCCTCCTAAACTAAAAATTCTATCTCCGCCCATGTTATTATACAATTAGAGTGAACCCATGCGTTGCACATTTGAACATTGATAATCGATTCATGAATATGTAATATGAAAAAAAAAATAACAAATCAAAGTGATTAGAAGGCCTTTCTTATGTCACAAGAAAATAATTTTAATTTATAACAATTAAATTGAATTCCTGGAGTCTTGATGGGAAAAAAAACGCTAAAAAAAACTTTCAATTATAGAATTTATAGTACATCAATATATAATAATAAATCTTGTAGAAGGGTTTTGATTGGTTAACATTGATTTAGTCAATTTTAATATATTTTAAATTTGTTTTTTTATGTCATTGTTAATTTATCGTTACGGGAGCATTAAATTTTTCCTAGGAGCAAGTCTTTTCCTCTCCCTAGCAATGAGTCCGAAGAAGTTGAGATGCAAAAAGAAAAACGATCTTGTCACTGTCAACTAGGTCTGATTGTATTGATAAAAATGTCGGCCATCAATTGATTAGGGAAGGAGAAGGGCCACAACCTTGAATTAATTTGGGAATCTCAGCGTTGTCGTCATCGTCTTGCCGGCGATGATCAAGTCGACAGCGCCATCAACCTCGACAATGGACGGATAAAGAGAACTCCTCTTTCCACACTCCTTAAGCAGTGCCCTAATTGCGGAAATCAGTTTCAAGTTTTCAAGTAAGATTTTCAGATAACTTGCTTCTGTGCTTATATGATTTTTTGTATTAGTTCTCAACAATTCACTTGCATTATTGTTTTTTGTTTATCTGTTGCAGATCCACACTAGATGATGAGTTGTAGCTATGTCCTTTCTGTGATCAACCTTTTTTTGGTAAGAGCCTTCTCTTGAGTCTTTTTGCCTGTCAGTTCCCAAGTTTCCTTTGCATTATTGATTTCAATCTTCTAATATTTCAATGCTACTGCCATCTGATGGTTTGAGAGCAGCAAGAATAGAAAAATTCTTTATACCTTATACTATCATATAAATGTAGTAATATTTCATTAATTTCATTAACGAATGGAAGAGGCCATGTTTCTCACTGTTGAACAAAATTGCTTTTTTACATCAGCTGTTAGCAACGAGTCGATAAAGGACTCTGTGAATTAATTTGAGAAAAGTAAATTTTTTTCTGTACACCCAATAGGAGTCAAACTAAATCAGAGGATACCTATATAAAGCTTCTTTTCTGTTTCATATTACTTTGATTTCCCCTTTCATTATGGTCTGCCATTTTGTTATGTTTGGTTTGCTTCCCTTTATATTAAACAAAATTATTTTCGTTGGTCTCATTGAAAGAACTAAGAATAATGTAATCAAACCAGAAATAAAAGCAAGCACAGATATGAGTAGCAAAGTTTAGGCAAGTTCTTATTTTTTAATAATCAAATATTGGACTTATTTTATGTGACAAAGTAATTTATTTTTCTTTCTTCACATTATGGGAACACATTAACCTACGTTGTCTTAGAACTTAGCTCAGAATTAATAAAGTTGTAGCACTTTTTTTTTAATCTTTCTTGCCCTCATTGTGATAATGAAAAAAAAGAAATATATGAGATTTGTTCACCTAATGATTTAATGGTCAAATACTAGAATCTAATGTTTATGAAATCATATATTATCACCTGATGGTATATACAGTGCGAATTAATTATTGATTCCCAATCAAGTGATCTATGGTAAATGAAATTGAATAAGCTAGGTGTTTTCTCTCTCCTCAATCTCATATTTCTTCCGCTACTTTATTATCCACTTTCCATTTTTGTAGTCATTTAAGAACTCTATTTTTTTGTTTGTTGGTTTTTGTTCTGTTTTTGAGATGTAACCAAATTTGGGCAAGGATAGTAAAATAGGGAGGCATTTCTCTCCCTTTTTATGATTGAAGAAAGATTGCTGCAACCATTTTATTGGATGTTTACGTGGGTGGCATAATATTTATTATTAAAACATGGATATAATAAAATATTAATATAAATATTATATAATAATGGTGATTCTTTGTTTCTTGGTAAACTTCTTTACATTTATTTTGCTAATTCTTTTTCTGTTATGGGTAGCAGTACAGAACAATAATAGATATGATATAGAGGGAAATGGGTATATCCACACGTGCGCGCGCGCACATGCACACACACATAAATATTTATTTTGTTGTTTCACTGAATTTTAAGTATATGTATTTGTAAACTTTGTTTATGTAGGTTTTACTGTAATCATTTATATCTTGTTGTCTCACTAAAAAAAAGTGCTCCTTCAAGTTGATTATAGTGTTCAATACACACGCTAAACTGCTACATTCTTTTCATGTATAGGTAAGGACAATGAAATATGATGGGATTCAGTGTATTCGTGTTCATGATATCCAAGAGGCAGTGTATGAATTGATAGCAAATGATGAATTGGCATGCTACGTAAGTCAAGGAATTAGAGCTAAAGCAAGTCCTTTTTGTTGCATTGAATAGCTAAAAATTTTAAAGATCATCAGCATGGGTAATCTTGGCTTGACTATCTAATCTTAATCACTTCGAATGTTGCGAAGGATTAAATTCTGAGCATTTAAATTATTGGTTATCTCATTGGAATTTGGAAAACCATTTTTCTAATATTCCTCTATTAAATGTATAATTGATTGATTTTTCAATTAAAAGTCTCTCATTATAGTACCTCTTGAGAAACTGAAACATTCAATCAATTTAATTAAATTACATTTAATGATGCAATGAGAATTATTTTCCTCTTATTCCAAACCCCTAATAAATTACAATATGCTTCTTATTTCTTACATCCATTTATAAAAGGCCCTACATTTTAATTCTTTGCATTCTTTCCTTCCAAACATAACTATTTTTCTTTTTAATTCTCTCTCATCTGATTGTCTACTTGAATCATCTGAGGCAAAGATGGAATTCGATGAGTATGACTTTGTCCAAGACATCAATGACCCCATGGAGACATGGTGTATTGTCATTAGGGTCTTGAGAAAATGGCATATAAACCAGAAAAAAACCCCCTTACCATGTCTGGAACATTTCATTCTTGCTCATTGATGAGAAGGTATGCATTTAAACAATTCTTCTGATTATGTTATGTTTCACTGTAAGAAAAGAAAATAAATCCATGATGGATGACATGTTATTTCAATGTTCATAGGGTTCTCAAATTCAAGCTTTCATTCAAAGCAAAAATCTACTCCAACAACTTGAAGAACAATCAGCCGAGGGAAGAGTTTACTTCATTGAGAACTTTGAAGTTCTCCCTAATACTGACAACACCAAGGCATGCTGTCATCCTTGGAAAATCAATTTTCATGCAAATACATTTGTCAAGGAACAACAGGCGAATGCACCTTCAAATGTATTCAACTTTGTATCAATCAAGGAGGTTATAAGTAGAGCAGATTTTGAACAATAGGTCACGAATTTTAATCATTTGATTGATATGTCATGATTTAATTTATTTTCTTTAAAAATGATACTTTTTCTTACCACAATGTAATATGATAATTTCATCTAGGTAAACTAATTGTTGTGGTAATTCTAGACATCACTGTTAACACCAACTGATCATCCAGATATCTTGTGTCGTATCTTTCAATTCAAGCTGAATAAACTTATGAAAGTTATAAAAGATGACAAGATTTTTGGCTCAGTGAAAGCAGGTTTGCACTTAAATTTTTTATAAATATAAAATTTTATGTACTTGAATTTCTGCCCCACTTAAAATTTTGATATCTTTTCTCACCAATCATTATTATTTTCCCAGTCCAAATATGTATACAATTGAGTTTCAAAAAAGAGGTCTTTCACATGCTCATATTATTTTATTCTTTCAAAATAAGGATAAAATCATAGTTGCTGGAGAGGTTGATGAAATAATATCTGTAGAAATCCCAAACAAGGAGGATGATCCAGTTCTTTATGAATTAGTAAGCAATTTCATGACTCATGGACCTTGTGGACATGCAAATAAAAGATCTCCTTGTATGAAAGAAGGCAAATGTAGCAAATACTTCCCTAAAAAATTTTTCTGACAACACATTTATTAATGATAAAGGTTATCCAACATATAAAAGGAGAAATGATGGGAGGAAGATTATCAAGAATGGGATAGTGCTAAACAACAGATACGTTGTTCCTTACAATCTAAAGTTGCTAAAGATGTTTCAAGCTCACTTAAATGTTGAAAAGACTAATCAATCCATATCTATCAAGTATCTGTCCAAATACATTAGCAAAAGGCAATGATCGAGTCATTGCAGGGATGTACAACAACAGTAATGACAGCAACTCTCAAATAATCTTTGATGAAATCAGTCACTACTTAAATTGTAGATACATCTCATCATGTGAGGGGTCTTGGAGAATTTTTGGATATAACATTCATCATCATTTTCCTTCTGTGGAAAGGTTAAAGTACTATCTTCCAAATAGACAACTTGTAATAGTCAAAGGAAATGCAAATGTGCAAAACTTGATGAATAAAAAAACAATTAGAGAATCAATGTTTTTAGCTTGGATGGAAAAGAATTTAGATCCCCACGATCTCAAAGCAAGAACTCTAACTTATTCTGAGTTCCCAGTACATTATGTCTTTGATAAGAATACAAAGATCTGGAAATCAAGACAAAGGGAATTTTCAATTGGAAGAATTGCACATGCATCTTCATCTCAGGGAGAACAATATTATCTTCGCTGTCTGCTCACTAAAGTCAAGGGGCCAACTTCTTTTGAAGATATAAGAACCATTAATAATGTTCAATACCCAACATTTAGATCAGCATGCTATGCTTTGGGACTTCTGGATGATGACCAAGAGTATATTGATGCCATTAAAGAGGCCTCTATATGGGCTTCAGGTCATTATCTGAGGAAATTTTATACAAATATGCTACTCAGTAACTGTCTTAGCTAACCTGAGTTAGTTTGGAGTTAAACATCTTGCCTAATATACGAGGATATGTTTTACTCAAGTGACGCTAGGCATGATGAAACAGGTTAGCCTCTAATCCTTTATTATACTAATGTTCAACTGTTATGCTCCTTCAAACATTAAAAGTTTAAACAACGAAGTATAAGGAATCTCTCCACGATTATGAATCTCTTTATGAGTATGTAATTGGAAAAAAAAATTCATTCACATAACAAAATTATTCTAATTCATATATTTTTATACCTACTTATCATGTTTTAAATTTTTTTTAGTTTTGTGAACTTCATTATATAGTTTCCTATTTCTTTTTCCAAAAAATTGAATACACAAGTAACATAAAATACTAAATTAGATAAGTACTATTTCAAACATAACAATAAATTAACTATAGTGAGTTTAATATTTGATATAATGACGAAAAATTACCCAACCTAATAATTATATAACTTTTTTATTTTCCTTCATTTTAAAAACATTTTAAAGGCATTTATTTTTTATATACAAATTTAAAGGGACCTATGTTAACGTTACCATATTTAATAATTCAAATTTGAGAACTACAACATTAGGCAATTATATTTTCATTACCTTTTGTTTTTAATTCTTATAACTTCATTTCATATTTGAAATCCATTTAGTTTCACATATTTTCAATATTAGTCCAAATAATATTTCTTCACTTCAAAGTTCTTTCATTTCTAGCATCTATTTTCACTGATAAAGACAAGAAAAATGCTGCACTATCGAAGATTAACAAGATCCTTCTTCAAAATGGAAGGTCCTTAGATGATTTTCCTTCAATGCCTAAACCTGTAGCTGTTATTGAAATGGAAACAATTAACCATCTTGTGCTACAAGAATTGAAGTTTGATGCAGAGTTTTACAAGACTGAAAGAACAATGTATGAACAAAAAATGACTAATAAGCAAAAAAACATTTATCATGAAATCATCTCTGCTGATCAATCCAAAAAAGGAGGATTCTTCTTCGTTTGGTTTTGGAGGAACTGGAAAGACATTTCTATGGAATGCTATAACAGCTTACATTAGATCCAACAAAAAATTATCTTAAATGTTGCATCAAGTGCTACTACAGCAACATTGTTGCCCTCTGGAAGGACTGCCCATTCAAGGTTCTGCATTCCTATTAACATAAATGAAGATTCTACATGCAACATCATGCATGGTTCTGCAATTGCCAATTTGCTAATAGCCACAAATCTCATAATTTGGGATGAGGCTCCAATGATGAAGAAACACTGTTTTGAAGCATTAGATAGGACACTAAAGGACATAATGCATTGTGATCAAATTTTTGGAGGAAAGTTCATTGTTCTTGGGGGAGATTTTTGACAAATTCTTCCTGTAATACCTGGTGGCTCTAGAGCAGACATTGTTAACGCTTTAATAAATTCATCCTATCTGTGGTATCATTGTAAAATATACAAGTTGACTATGAATATGAGGTTGTCTGCATCAAATTCTGAATCAGAAAAGGTTGATATACAATCTTTCTCAAATTGGTTTTTAAGCATAGGAGATGGTTCAAATAGTGCTGAAGGAGGAGGACAATCAATCGTACATATACCAACTGAATTTTTAATATTTGAGTTCATTGACCCTTTGAAGAAAATTGTAGAAACAATTTATCCCCAATTAGAGCAAAATTTCATGCGCGAAGATTTTTTCACCAGCAGGGCAATATTGGCTCCGACCTTAGAAGTTGTAGATCAATTGAATAATTACATTTTCTCAATTTTCCCAGGGGATGCAGTTACATATTTCAGTTCAGACTCCATATGCAAAGCTGATCAACATTCTGACTACTTTGATGATATTTACAATACTGAATTCCTAAACACAATTAAATGCTCTGGAATGCCTCCACACAATTTGACTCAAAAAGTAGGAGTCCCTGTCATGCTTATGAGAAATATAGACCAGGCTAATGGACTATATAATGGAACAAGATTGAGGATTACTTTGTTGCCAGACCATTTTATTAGAGGAGTAAACCTAAATGGATCAAAATTAGGGGAAGTCTATATTCATCGCATGGACCTTAACCCTTCTGAGGAAAATCTTCCTTTTCTCATGCGTCGTCAACAATTTCCTGTTATCCTCTCATTCGCAATGACCATAAATAAAAGTCAAGGACAGACTTTGTCAAAAGTAGGAGTTTATTTGCCAAAACCAGTTTTTATACATGGTCAATTATATGTTGCTTTATCTAGAGTTACATCAAAGAATGGCCTTAAGCTTCTTATTCATGATTCTGAATTTAGGCCATTGACATCTATGACAAAAATGTAGTTTACAAGGAAATTCTTCAAAATGTTGTGTGAGGGGAAAAACAAGAGTTCATATTAAGGTTGAATAAATGTTTTCATATTATGTACTCTTTATGGAAATAATGCATTCATAAAAAATTAGAAATTTTCCACTTTACCTGTAACTTACTATAAAACCAACAAACAAAGATAAGATATTAACAAATCATATATCCAAGAAAAATGGCAAACTCATATCCATCCTTATTAATGATATCAATTATATTTTATTTAAATTCCTCAATTCTAACCTGCAACACACAAGAAAGAGTCTAATTGTACCTATTGCAAGTGAGTCGAAAGGCTAGTCCTTCCCGACCTAGTGAACCAATATTCGAATTCTATTAAGAGAGGTGATTATATTTAGTGCACAAGTAATAGGTGAAAAAAAAATATACAAATTTATCCAAAAAAAGCTATATAAAAATTAAATAGTAATGGAAATATCAACTATAATAGCTGGGATATATGAATCTTGTTTAATTTTTATATCATAATTAATAAATTAATAGTAATTCTGGATTCAACTTTTTGAGCTTAAAAAAAAGTAATTTCAAGAATATATAGAGATTTTACAGAAAAAAATATTGTGCTACATAATATGTAGATTATGAATACCACATAATATAATGCGTCATCTTTTTAAATCCCTCTTTATCTCACCCTTATCTTCTTAATTGTATCGGATATATTAATACTCACCATAAGGTCACTATTAAAATTCCAATTTTAAAATGTTTAAGAAATATTAAAATTAATATTTAATATTAATATCAAAGAGATGAATAAAAATTATAATAGGTAGATTTTCAGCCCTGGAAAAGTGGATAAAGGCTCCAAATTTGAACCTAAAGTTACAACTGAAAATAACGGACAATATCAATTCAAAACATAATTTCAAATTTGCAACATAAATATTAAATAACTATATTCTACAATTAAGATAAATAAACTTAACTTGTAGAATTTTTAAGATAATTAGACTGGCAAAAAAAATCAGATGTAGAAATTTAATAAATAATTGCAATCGGCTGTAATTATACAAATTAAAATATCTGGACCAATGCATTTTAATAACATCAATATCTCAATTTTACTAATTATATTTTGCAATTCAAAAACTAATTAGATTTTTGCAAAATAATAGGTAGATTGTGAATATACCTGTACCCATCATATGGGTCTTTTTTTTTTTTTTTTTTAAAGCCGGATCACCCTTTTCTTCTTAACTATATAATTTATATTGGATATATCGATACTCGCTATATAAGATTAATAACAATTTTTAAGTTAAAAAAAGATTTAATTTCAACAAATAATAATTACGTGCTCAAAATTTGGGTGATGCGACTTAATTGGCTTGCTGTAGGAAAGCATATTTGCTCTATCTCATAAGATTTGACAAGATCAAGTGGAAAAGAATTAAACTAGAAAAAGATGATTCTTATCCTAGACATTTCAACTCTCAATGTCTTTGAATTTTTAAATATTATTTCAAGGAAAAGAGTGTGCTGCTCATGAATTTATTATTATTTTTAATTTGATATGTAAATTGGCTTAATTGTCATGAAAAATATATCAATATAAAATTATGAAAATTGTTTTTAAAAATTTTAGAATGTGGCCCATTTGCAATATATTATTATTTTTAATTTGGTATGTAAATTGGGTGCAGTTTTCCTTTTTTATCATAAAAACAAATAAAAAATACTTGTGTAATAGAATGGCAAAATTTCCACAACTGAATAGTCATAATCATAGTCTATTTACAATCATATATTGCTTCAATGTTTGACCACTTTTAAATACTTAGCCGTCAGCTTAGTAGGCATAATATATTTTAGATTTGAGAACAAGATATTATATTTAAGGAGAAGGGATATTTTTGTCATTTCAATTTAACTAAAAATTAATTTGGCCACATTGCAAAATATTTAAAATGTTTGGTTGTTAATTTTTATTTGATTCTATTAAATGGGTTATATGTGCAAAGATCCCTTTGTTTTACAATTTCCTCATTCATATTTACTTGTATTTTTTTTATTAGAAAACACTAGTTATGTTTAAGGAAGATAGACATTAAGAGTGTTTCTTTTAAATTTAGGGATAAATTTTAATTTCAAATTGGAAATTTTAAAATAAATTGAAATATCATTTTGAAATAAAGGAAAATTGCCTAATTATCTGTGAATAACCATATTATCTGAGATTTCAAGTTTGAAAATAAGATAAAATGTACAAATTTACAAGATTTAATTTTAAAGGTCAATATATAGATAGAAGCGTTGTATTCTACCTTCGTATACAGAGTGACTTACTGGGGGAAAATTGACAAGAGCATGAAGATGGTATACAGAGTGACTTACTGGGGGAAAATTGACAAGAGCATGAAGATGGATGAATATTCTTATTATTCAAAGAAATGTAAAGGCGGGCAACATGAAGAACAAAGACAAGAGGTATGTATTATATAGTAATTGCTTTTAAAATCAAAATATTATTTATCTGATGAATTACTGTGACTTTTACAGATGAAGATGAAAGCGTTGAATGAAGAAATAACGAGGAAGAGGTAGAGGAAGAGGAATGAAGAATTGGATGAAGAGCTAGGGAAAATGTTTCATGAGAAGATACAGGAAATATGGGCTTCTATTGGGCAACGTAACCAAGCCCTTTTCTGAATCTAAATCCACAAATACATACGGTTGATGATGATATATATATATATATATATATATATAAAGGAATAGATATTTTAAAGGAAGGACGTCATCACTCAACATCAGCTTCTTATCATATAGAGAAACAAGGGAAGGCGATGGAGGCTTTGTATAAGTATTATGAAACGCAAGAGGGAGTATCAATAGATGAAAGTCATAACGAAGACATAAAGAAAGAGCTCGAGTCACTACAAGAAACAATGCACGAGGCAGAGATGGCTCTAGATCATTTGAAGAAGGGAACGGGAATTCAAGGCTTCTTTAACTTCATATATATATATATATATATATAAAGATTTACAGCGACGACCATAGCAAATTTACTTTTCTTTAATTCTGGTTTGCCATTATTGGAATATGTCAAGTTACTTTTGTTTTTTAAATAAATTTTTGGAATTAAAAAATTTTATTTTCTTTAATAATCAACGTTGCCATTTTGCTATGTGGTTCACGCTGTGCAAAAGTCTAGTTGTCGCAATCCTAGTCCTGTCTAGTAAAAAAATTGGTCTGTATTTGAATAGTTTGAAGTTTGAATATAGCGTTTCTTTTATTCACATTTCATCATTTTATTTAATATAATTTTAATTTATTTTACTTATATTAGACATGTTGTTGTTGCTGTTATGGAAATTATGAATTTAAATCATTTGAATTTTAATTAAAATATTTTTTATTTTTTTAGAGATTGTTATAAATTTTTTATGATTATAAATATTTTTATTATCCTAATTGAGTTTGTAAGATAAATAAATTGTTACCTCTCATAGCTAAGTAAGTACTGAACTATCAAAATTAATCTCCTAATCCTATAGATTAAGTTCAATTTTGTTAATCTTTGGATTATAACTGAACTAGATTGAACTACAACTTATCTAACCCAATTCTTTTTATATCCAGTCTTGTCGAGTCCTTCATGCAGCCTAATGACCTATTTAAGGGGATGATTTGATTGTGCTGTTGTTAGGAATAAATGTTTTTTTTAGACCTTAAATATATTGGTTGATTGAAATGTAATTTCACTAACATGTTCAAACTAGGTTAATAATGAATTCTGAGAAGATTAACATGTATAATCAATAATAATACTATTACTACCAATTTCCGTTCTTGTTTCTTCTCTCATTTTTCATTTTATTGAAGAATAAAGATAAGCCTATCTCTATCAATCTTTTATTCTTATTTTAAATTTCAATTTGTCTCTCTTATTTCTTTGAAATTTTTTATACTATCTAAACAAAACAAAATTAAAGATATAAATTTTAAATATAATAATTTAAACATATTATTTAAAATTTAAAATTTAAATTTAAATCCATCAATCTAAATGCTTTCTATGATATACTTATGACTTTATTACGATGAGTCTACCGTTTATTTATGTGTCTCAAGAAATATTATTAGTCCCTTGCTATGTATATGTTCCTCTTCTCCCAAAATTGATCGTGATTTATATTCTTTAAATATTCCTTCTCCGGCCTGGTCTTCTGTTTTTAGATAGAGTAAGTCATTTTAATCCTGTTTTACAGGAACTAAATAAAAACTTAACCCTATTAATTCTATTTTTAAAAATTTTACAAGTTTATAATTTTTTCTCTGCTAAAAATACATATTTTAAAAACTAAAATACACTAACATTTATGACTTTCTAACATTTAATAGGAGAAAAAATTAAAGATTGACATAATAATTATTGAGGATGTTTTATAAAAATAATCAAAATAAATACTCTCTCTCTGTCTTAAAGGAGTAATTTATAAAGTATTTGTATACATATTAATTTAAAGTAGGGTAAGTCCACAAGTGAAAGTCAATGCTACATCACACTAATCTCGAGAATTGACCAAAAAAGAAATTGGAAGAATCACATTCCGGCTCCAAGATGAGAAAAAATAGCAGTGAGGGTCAGAAACTCAAAATAACAGAAAGTTCAGCAAAGATAACTGAATTGTTGAACCTTATTTTGTGTACAATTGAACTTTCATTGTTTTGGGCCTTCACTGTCTTTTTTTTTTTTTTTTTCCATTTGGAAGTCCTGAATGCTATTTTCCCAAAGAAATTAAAGAACAAAAACCAACATTATTAGGAGGCCTAGAAAACATAATTAAGAAATCTTAATAATACTCACATTCTCATTCATCCAAACTTTGCAAGACATGAAGTTAACCTATAAATAGTCAAAGGTGGAATATTCTAAAAGTCTACTCCCTTCTATCCTTTTTATAAGTAATATTCTCAAAAGTTTTCTTAATTATTTATATAAATC